GCCTATCACGCCGTTAAGACCTCTAATGTGTCCTCGGAGTGCGCCACCTGTTTGCGAGTCCGATCCAGCTCTTCCGGAACGCCCTCTGACAGGATAAATCCCGCACGACGTTGTCGATATGCGACATCGGCACACCGACAGCGAGCGCATCCGCAAGCCAAAAGTTCATGCGATGGATATGCTCCGCGCGAGGTTTTGTCTCCGGTATGCATTTCCGATAGCTCGTCGCAGTGGCGTCGGAGCCGGCGCGCTTAGAGGCACGCCCTCCGCCATCGTCTTCGCGCAGCGTCCGTTGACATCCACGGTGAAGGAGCAGGCACCTCAGAGGCCATGCACGGCGATTCCAAATGGCCGCCGCCCTGGGAGCACGTAAGAGATGTGTAGTTGACCGAAAACAAGGAGTACCCACTTCAGTTGTGGCTGTCCTGTGACGGGGCCGGAGATTGGGAGAAACGCGTATACGCTAGTAGAGCAGCGGGTGGCCCAGGCGCGGGGGGTGTTCGCAGCCATGGCGCTAGGTTGTCACAAGGCGAAGCGCGCGTTTACCGCCTGGCATTGGATGGACGATGAGAGCAAGATGCAGTCGTGCGCCAGCCGACGCGTTCCGCGCGGTGTGCGCTCTCGCGCGGTCGCAGTTCTGTCTCTTGCCGTCACCGCCACTAAGTCTGTGAGCGCCTTCATGCGCCTCCTTGTTGCCGCTATGTCTCATGAGCCTGACATTACACTGTGCTTCAGGTGAAATTTGGCCATACAGAAAAGAATACACTCTGTGAAAACCGACGTTGCAATCTTCATATGGACGCCGCCGTTCGGCAACGGCTGTCCGCGGCCTCTGAGCAATACATCTATAAAGATGCAACCCCATGCTCTCAATTGCAATTTCGGAGTCCATGGTGGACGGACGATTGAGAGGTTCTGCGAGGACTTGTTCATAGGGCCAGCCGGGAGGCGCATCGCTGGCGTGGTGTCCGCGAACACCCGGCACACGAGATGCGCAAGGCGCTAGAGCGCGAGTACAAGCGAGCTAGCCGTCTGGCGAAGCTCGCGCATGAGGCAAACGCGGCGAATCAAGAACGAGGGATGATCGGTACCGGTAGAGAGCTACCAGAACCAAGTTCCATGCTGTTCCATGTCATGATTCAGACCGCGTCTCATCCGACTGCGAATTCACTCTGGCGTATATACCACCGTATAATCACATGCTTAATCACATCGTATGGCATTCGCCGAACGCTCGTCAAGCCGTTTACGCTTGCGCATCCCAATCTGCAGTTACAGATAGCCGTCGTTGTAGGAACCTGCGAAGGTCACAGTATGGACTGTGGCCCTTCATACACTGGACGCTCTTCCACCGCTCCTACCGGACTGAACAGCACGGGGGTCTAAGTAACGTTTAGGTCGCTCAGTTGGTGCTGCTTGTCAAAACAAATTCCCGTTCAAGATATCTAATCTCGCCTGGCACTGGGTCATCCGCACTGGATCCACGGCAGCCCCGACCCTTGCTCGGTTCCTGAGGCCTGATGGCTCAGTACTTCAGTTGTTGTGTTCACGACATGGACACAAAGTTGTGTCAAGGTACTTATATATAATTAAGTAAGTAACTCAGGCGCGACCGCGGTTAGTGCCCACCGTTTCCGTCCTTATGTAATCTGCCTCCTTCGATCTTCGCACGAGCTCTTGATATAAATTTCGCAGTGGTCTCAACAGCGGAGAGGTGAATAATCCAAGACCGCTCTCCTCGTAGGCGAGCTCATCTTCTCTAATCTCGACGATTATCCTATAGAAGGACGCCAGAGACCCATCCAACGCATTTAAAGACGATACATGCTTGTTTCCTTCTGTCATTCTGGACGTCTGGGATCCCGCGAGTCGAGCCTCGAGTAAATCTGGTTCACATGGCGTAGTATCGCTACACCCAGTCATGTCAATTATATCTTTTCGCCCACGGATGACTATTCAAGTTATACCTGGCCTCTCTGATGCCGAGGTTCTCCGCCGCAGCGCGAAGTGTGTTGTACGAGCGCCCGCAACGCTTACTAGCGCTGGGCGCAGACCGGTGAGGTTTACACGATCGGAACACATATAATCATCGTACCAATTAATACGACCATCAGCATCTTGACTTCCACGGGCCGTAACAGTTTCGTGTTGACAGTAAGGGCACCGAGCAAACCCGTCACGGACGATGACACTCATGTTGAGCTTTGACCCTGGACGGACAGAAAGAGCCCACTTTTGAGGTTCTATCATCGTGCCCCGGGAATCGATTAAAGCGTAGTCTCTATGCTGCACGTATGAGAGTCCTTTCCGACCTTTAAAGGCCTGTAGAAGGAAATCATGCGTGTTCTAGTGTCGTCATCAGCACTTGCATTGGCGCGTCACTATGCGTCACGACTGACCTGCCACGTCGAGAACGTGTCCGACTGAAGTTCAAAGACTTCACCCAGCACGTCGACTATGATCACGGTGCCGGGAGACCGTGACGTTGGACGTAGGATGAAGCTCTGCTGCCAAATTATGAACAGCAATACGAACATACACCCCATACGGATGAGTGCCTCCATGGCCCCAAGAGCAAGAGAGAAGGTTGTCGTTGCTCGCACTATAGAAGACTTTCCAGCAGTACCCACAAGGTCCTCGGAATCGACTGCGAAGGAGAGCAGAGCCGCGAAGCCGCGCCAGATGATGTCTTGATTTTCGGAACTGAAGTTGGAGGCGACGTGAAGTAGCTGTCCTCCCATGCGCGACACATTGTGAACTCGAGACTCGATCGCTTGCGATGCCACATGAGAGGGTACTGGCGATAGATCTTGATTAACCCGGGCGGATGTGTCTTCTAGCCGTCGAGGGTTTGTGAGGATATCGCTCTCGAGGATTGCCTGGAAGCGGTTGAATAGTACATCGACTAGCAGTCTATCAGTGTTGGGTTCACATAATAACATGCGGGAGTCTATACCGCGGGCGTTTATCTGTGTCGTTTGCCCTAAGATGCGGCGCGTCGTGACGTCTGTGCGATTGATCGTTGGTTGAACGCAGCGGACACCCTGTAGGACTAGAATACCATAGTCAGTGTCGAACGGGTGCTCTTGCAGAGACCGCATTTATATACCCTCTTAAACGTCCTGAGATAATCCATGCACACTGACCGATAGGTGCGCGAGCGCCATTCTTTCTTCTTCTGTTGTGACATCTTCGAGCCTCGCAAGGGCGGATTGGACACCGTCTGCCTTTGTGAATAAGGCTTTCACAAAGTGCCCTGCAGGCTCACTCTTAGTATTAGGTACAAGAGGATGATAGCCATCACGTACGAATGCGACCCTCACGCATCACCTTTGTAGCTAACTCCAACGTCTTCAACACTTCGATGAGCGCTTTCACAACGGTCTCCTTCGCTTCCTTTCTCATCGGTGCCTCTATGCGTACTTTCAGCCGTACGACGTAGACTTCGAGGCCGTTCAATAGTTTCTGAAGGTCATCGTACGTTGCACTGACGCGATCTGCTGCCTATTGATAAGAGGTAAGTCTCGGCATGAACTTCGATCGAGCTTAGTTCGTCACCTGAAGAAGTATCGCGACGGCGGCGAAGATCCCCTTACCTCCGGGCACCCCCTAAGCACATGTATCAATAAAGAACGCTGTGTACTGAAGTTATGTAACGCACTAGAGACGAAGCCGTCTCAGAACCAGCATCGAGTATCACGCTCAAACCGCGTATCAGCGGTTTCAACGACTTCCTAAGAGCGCGCGACGCTTTGCTGCCCTGGCGCCTGTCGCTCAAGCATTCCGACGTGTCCTGTAGATAGTCGAGAATATCATCACTGCTAGTGCATCGCTCTAGATCGCGAACGAATGCCAGGCCCTGATCGCGGGGATCGATGCTGAGGGAGCTCCGGTATTGATCAAGAGCATCGTTCCAAAGCTCCTCGAGATCTGGCGGATGTTCTGAGCCACTGGATAGCACCTCCGCTCGCCTTCGTTCAGTCGTATAGTGAGGATGGTCGGGTCCTCTTCGTAGGATATGCATGGTGGGAGGGGACAAGGAGCGTCCTCTCCCTCCCCGTAAGGACATGGGCGCTTCACGCAACGTGTTGCAGGAGCGGCAGGGAGTAGCGCTTGACGAGCTTCCTCGTGTGACAGCGCACCTATATGCAGCCTCTCTAGAGTCTAGACGGGATCTTGAGGTAACATCGAAGACAAGCTCATCTCTAGCCCATGCAATGCGCTGAACGCAGCATCACAGGCGTCTAAAATCATCATGAGTACGGGGGTAGTGGTGTCGGTAATGCGATCCGTAATGCGGCGCTTATCATGGAAGGAAGGGATTGTCGCGTATCTTGACCCATACTTGAGTACCGGTAAACGGAACAGCACCTGTGCACGTCCGTGGACAATCAGCATAGACACGCGAAAACAGTTATTTGGGATACCCACCGCATTCAAGCGCGGACACTGGAGTTGCAGAAACATGAGCAGTTGAAACGGTGGCGTTACTAAAAGACGCCTGTATTCGGATTCAAGCGTTCATGAACAACCATGCACATTCGTTGAACAGTACAGAAACAATCGTGCTACCTGGCCAGATCAACGTCACATCTGTCATATTATAGCCTATCCACCCCTCATCGTCTCCATCCTGTATGTCAGACTTCCAAGCCGTCCTCGAAGTGCGCCGCCTGCTTGCGAGCCCGCTCCAGCTCTTCCGGGTCGCCCTCCAGCGGAATGAACTTCCGCACGACGTTGTCGATATACGACGCCGGCACACCGACAGCGAGCGCGTCCGCAAGTCCAAAGTTCATGCGATGAACATACTCCGCGCGGGGCTCCGCAGGCTCTACGCGTCCCTGGTCGACATAAACGAGCATCTCTCGCCACTCGGGTTTGACGCTCCGAATATCGACGCGTTCGGACGCGGATGACGCGGGCCACAGTTCGACCGAAAGTACGAGTTTCTCGTAGCACTCGGGCACGCCCTCGTTGACATCGAGCGTTTCCTCATCCCGATCCCTGAGTTCGTACGCCATCCCCCAGACCTCGCCGGCCTCTGCGGATGACACCACGTTGGCGTAACCCCGGTCGTTTATGATCCAGCGGTACGCCGGCAGACGCGCAACGCCGACGTAGGGCGAGCTCGGACAGCGCTTAGACATCTGCTGCAGCCATAGATTACTGCCATACGCAAAATACAGACGCGGCTGGGAGGAAGACATGGTGGTTCGGAGCCAACGTCGGGCTCGGAAGCATGCCGTCAACAGTTGCGGCTGATCGGCGATGTAAGGAACGTCAATTTCTGCGAAACATCTAAAAAAGTCGCCGCCATTGGACGTTGGGCGCCGGACCAAGCCGGGAGTTGGCAGCCGGAGGGTCCGGGTCGGGATCGTTCATAACCTCGGTGCCAGCGACGCTATCGAATCCTCCTTACCGCTTGGTTCTCCACCGCCACCACCTCCCTACCCTTTACTCCCCTTTACTCCCCTTCTTCCTTAATCGCAATGCCTTACGCTGCAGGTGTGTATCTCTACATTCTGTGCATGTAACGCGCAGAGATTGATGTGCTTCCCCGCAGGTGACGCTGGCAAGGGTGCTGGTCTCTTCAAGACCCGCTGCGCTCAGTGCCATACCCTCGAGGCTGGCGGACCCCACAAGGTCGGCCCCAACCTTCACGGGTGAGTATTCGCTGCTGTTCAGCGCTAAGATCAAATGTTGACGTGGCTATAGTGTGTTCGGTCGCAAGACTGGCCAGGCCGAGGGCTTCTCCTACACTGCCGCCAACGTCAACAAGGGTATCACCTGGGACGAGCAGACCCTCTTCGAGTACCTCGAGAACCCCAAAAAGGTGCGTTTCGCCGGTGCACTCCATCGGGCTTAATCCTGATGATATTTGCGCAGTACATTCCTGGTACGAAGATGGCGTTCGCCGGGTTGAAGAAGGACAAGGACCGCAACGACCTCGTCACCT